TATTGAGATGGATGAGTGACAATACAAGAAGGGATAGCATTCGAAGTAAATATTTAAAGACAACTTATGTATGGTTCCAAAAGGTGATAAGATGAAAAGAAGTAGACTTAGTGGGTTGACCATATGCACCATAAACCCCGTACAACAAATGTTGGGAGGCACGAGTTGGTTCAAGAGGAAGGTTCGAAAAGTGCAAGGGTTAGGCTTAAAATGATATGGCTGGAAGTGAAAAAAATATATGGGAATTTATGGCCACATTGAGGGTATGATCCCTGACAAAACAGAATGGTAGATCATGATTCATTTAGCGAACCCTAAATAGTTGGGAAATAGCTCCGACAATGATAATGATGATGATAATTATCATAACAATATAATTATAATAAATTAATTAAAAATATTATAATATAATTATAATTAAAGGAATATAAAAATAATAAGAATAAATTACTTTTGTTAGACTAATTACAATAAGTATAGACTATTATTTATAATTGAAATGATAATAAATAGCCATATTTCCATTATATAATAAACATAAATTATGATAATAAGAAAATTAATATTCATATGTTTATTATATAATAAAAATATATTATTATTATGATAATAAAATATTCGTTAGTACAAAATTATAACATTATATATTATTATACATCAATAAGAACACGTACCATTATAATTAGTTATTTTTATTTTAATAGATATTATAATCATAATTATTAAACAACCAAAAGTAATTTGTATTTATGCATTTATTTTAATAAATACCACACTTTGTAATTATTTAAATATAAGAGTGATACAATTATTATACCGTAATGAATATTATGATAATTACAAATGTAATTCGAATCATGGTTCATCATACCTGCATAACTTTAATTATATGTTTATATGGTAACAATAGCAACATTGTTATTGTTGTAGTTATATATTGGTATTCATCGAAAGCATTATCCATCATTAAGTATTAATATGATTATAATTACTTTATTCTATTATTAAAATACCGGGGATCCCTGCTCTTTAGGATGGACGATGGTATTGAACCTGACAAGGACAACCATGAAGCCAGCCGAATAACCTCTCTTTCTACAGTAACCGAACTGTACTTTAAGTCCTGCCTAATCTTCACCTACTATGAGGCTAGGAATCAAAAGTGGAAAGTTATGAAGTTTGAGGTGTTTGGAAGTCTTAGGTTCTTTTGGGAATTAGGCTTTCTTAGATTTTAGACTTCTTAGGGGTTAGGATTAGGAATAAGAAGTTTTTGGGAAGTTTTAGATTCTTTTAAGACTTGAAGGGTATTTTAAATTTTAAAAAGGTGTAAGGTAATTTGAGTAGTATGGGATAAGCTTATGGATAATTTGGACAGTTGGATATACTTTTTCACTTTAATTTAAATTTTCCAACTGTAAAAAATAAAAAGAGAGCTTTTATAGATATGAGAAAACATGGGCAGAATATTAAAAATTGGTCAGTAGAAAATCAAAACCATGGCTCAAAAGGGGTAGATTCTCAAGATTAAATTTGGGTTAGGCCTGAAAATGACAAAAAAAAAAGACGCCTAAACCATGGAATTCTAATGATTTGCCCTTGAAGAAGCTCCTTTTTTTATTCACCACAAAAACCTATCAAATCAAGCTACTTTTCCATCATTTTAGCTCATCCATGAAATTTGATAGCAATCAACGACAATCATTTTGCAATAAATTTAAGCGAAATCCATCCTCAATTTGCCAAATTTCACGCATTTAGAGTTTCGCTTTTCTATTTTCTGTAAAAAATGCATATCCATTTCTACACCAGATCAGAGAGATAAACCTCTTTTTTTTTTAAGGAAAATAGCAAGAATGTATGGTTAAAGATTTGCAACACAAAACTAAATCAGAAGTCTAAAGTTTTGCGGAAGAGAAGTAAACGAAGCCACTGATTCCAGATATTCCCTCGTGTCTTCCCTGATGCAGTTTCTTTCAACTATGATGAAGTTCTAACCTTCAAAATCATGGGTTTGACAAAGCCCTTCTCTCTCTCTACAAAACCCACTACATACTTTCCATCCTCATCCCCATTCCTCTCACTTCTCCCCTTCAACATTTCTCTCTCTACAAATTCCATTACACACTTTTTGTATTTATTTGAATGCAGTGCATCGTACTCTTTATCTTATAACCCTAATTATTTATGCATTGATTTCCCCAATTTCAGCCCAGATCCCCTAATATCTAGTATCTTCCCAGCTCTCTCGGTAAAATTTAAATTTGGTTATCTTTATGAACTATTTTATATCATATTTTCTGTTATATATTATTTGCTAGCTTTTAGAAATATAAAAATCATACCAATGTATTATTGGTATGATTATTCCTTCTCTATTGTTTTATTGTTATCAATTGGTGATATCTACAATATTTTGTTATAAAATATATATACTATGTAGACAGGGTCCAGCCCAAACCTAAAAAAGTTGGAAAAAAGTAATATCTAAACAATATATTATTAGTATAAGTATTCCTTATCTATATTTTGGTTATTGTTAATTGGTGATATATGGAACATTTTGTTTATACAAAAAGAATCAGTTTTTTAGAATTATGAATCTTTCAATGAGATAGGATTCTTGATGTCTTTATTGAAGTATTTTATTTTTTTGTTTACTTGAAGACTTGGCCTTTAGCCAATTCAAAAACTTCGTAGGGGTCGGATTCAAAGAATGCAGAATTCGAGCTTAAGTTTGACTTGAGCTTAAACCACAAAGCCTGAATACAAGCGAAACCTATGAGGCCTAGGCACTTTCAAGCTTGGCTTCTAGCACGTTCAAGGCCCGTGATAAAATGCTATATATGCAAGGTGTGGAGTAGAAGTTAATACAAATTTTTTGTAGGAGGCGAGAAAATGGGTGATAATTGATTGATTTATTTTGTTTATGATGAAGAATTGCTATCAACTGGCGAGGGTACTTTATATTATATTGGTGGTGATGCTTGTACTTCTCTTGCTAATAGTAGAACTAGGCTAGATGCTATGTAAAATTACGTAGCGGATCGTTTCTCAATTGATGCACACACTATAACATGTAGGTATTTTGTCCTAGAGGGTAAGAGAATTAATGTGAACTTATTTATTGATGGTGATATTGAAAGGATATTGAATGTACATGAAGGTGATGTAATCGTTTATGTATGTGATGCAATGAACTTAGGGATGAAAATACTTCACATAATCCTAACATAAGGTACAAATAATTATTTGTTTCATTCGATCTGTTCAGTAACTTATATTTACTTTAGTTATATTTAATTTCTCATTTGCACATTTATAAATATATTAGGGCAATTCAAGAGATCCGACACCTACAATCCTCTAATGTTCTAGACTATCACATTGAACAAAACAATGCACCAAGGTTGCTAAGTTCATGGGAGGACATACTAACTAAGATAGGGCAAGAGTTTCAATCATTCGTTGCCTTGCGAGAATCTCTTAGCAAATTTACTATAGCACACCACTTTGTACGTATTGTCTCGTTAAAAATGAGGGGTATCGTATAAGAGCAAAATGCACGATAGCTGTGAATGTGAGATATATGTTTTCCCTACTCGAGGATAAATTAAGTGACATTACGCATTACAAGGCTAAAAAAAATTGTAAATGGTTTGACTTGAGACTATAAGTTATATGTATCGTATCATGCATGGTGATGAAAGGAAACAACCATCAAAGAAATACATGATTCACAACAGTGAGCATACAACCAATCGCCCGCATATGTCAATTGTGTGTTGGAGAGGAATCCTGGAAGCCATGCATCCGGACACGTATGGCTAGATGATAGATTCTATCGTCTATTCTTCAGCTTTTATGGCTCAATGCATGGCTTAAAAAATGGATATCGTTTGCTTCTTTTTATCGATGAGACATCATTAAAGGTACTTAGAGATTCTACTTGCTACCAACTCAGTTGATGGGTCAAGACAAATGTTTCCCTTTGCCTTTGATGTTGTCGATGCCGAAAATACTAAGGGAAGAAGAATATTTTTTTCAATATCTTCTAGCGTTGATAAGATAAACTAGATTCTCTTGGAGAGGATTTGGATTGGGGGCACTTTTTGAACAACAAATCAAATTGTCAAAAGATCAATCTCATTCTTTGGTGAATATGAGAGCTTTGGGCTCCATCAAACAATCAAAACACTAGTAGGTAGAAGTCTGACTTGCGGGTGGATTATTTGAACCCACCAAACCACTCAATCAATTTAGCACAATATATCAAATTAGTCATAAGTGATGAACAATTTACTACTACATCAATATTTTTTGACATTATTTCAAAGACCCATAGAAAAAGTTTATATAGAGCTGAGGCTCTAAACAATCAAATTAGCACCTACCTCAAAATTTCACTAGAGGAGGTTGTTTTGATGCCCAAATATCCTCAAATTGATCATCTCAAGCTCAAGATGCATAAACATGAGATAAAAAATGAATTTCAAGTTTTGGAAATAGTAGATCTTGTAATACATTTTTGGACCAAGATTTTCAAGTTTTTATAGATCCGCTCAATCTACACTATTTATGAAGCTTTAAATTTTATAATTAAATATGAAAATATAGTTTAAGGCCATCACAAAGATTTTCAGTATTAAAACTACATTTTTCCGACACTAATGCCACTTTACTTTGATTGTTTAGAGCCTCGGCCTTATACAAACCGCATCCTAAAAACAAGCATCGTGAGTTGGAACATGAAAAATATTAAATAATTCATTTCTCATTTCCCATAGATTAAATAAAACGATGCCAACTCAAAATTCTCGAAGGTTGATGTCAGTTGAGAAGGACAGACTAGTATTGCTCCTGCGAGAGCATAATATAAGTGCTCTTGAGAAAATGAACATGATGATAGAATGGGGCCCACAGGTGGGTCATGTTTTCTGATGGGTCCCACTTCCAACAAGATCCATCATTCCAATGGACAGAGTTGACCCTAAGGACTGAGGTGTTAATCAAAGAGCTCCAAGATGCATTTAGTGGCACAGTTCTCTCGCATTTGATTCAGACAAAATATATTACAAACGATGGAGCTGATTAACTTAAGAAAACCAGACTGCTTATTCAACTCTGCATTGTACTTTTGGCAGTTAAGAGGTACTACATATACAGGAAAGACAAAGATAACATTACAATACATGTCGGATTCGTTCGCAGGAAACAACCATTCGTCCTGCCACATCTCATGGCCACTCTTTCAGCTAGCTACTTGAGGAATCGTGTAATGGGAGTTCGTTAGCTAATCTTCCGGGCTTCAAAAAGAGTACAGCTGTGAGGCTTCATGCTATAAATGGCAATGCTGCAATGACAATGAAACAAGGGAAAAATCAATGGCATAAATTTCAACACAATAGGTTCTCATAATGTAGTTAGATAATTTACCTAAGCACCATGGATGCAAAAGCTTAGCACTGAAGAACAATAAATTAACCAGATGGCTTTTAAGAGCCACATTTATTTATTGGGAAGGATAAACGATAATCCAATGGAACATGGTATATGGTAAATAACCATCAATCATCCATATTCTCCATTGTCTGTTATCAAGATCGGATAATGGATGCCCCCTTTGAAGTATCATGTACCAAAGCCCAGTGGATTATAATTTACCTTTGAAACCACTTCTTGTTGAGTGACATTCTGAGACTTACGAACATATCAAGCCACTAAATATATGGTCTTAGTATGTCTACCTTGTTGCTGGTTGATCAATAGGAATGCCTTCCATTGAGAAAAAACCTGGATATGGGAGGCTGGTGTCCACTAGGCAAAACCTGCATGAATGAAGACACTGATACGGTACATACACACTTTACAATGAAGCAGATAATTGAGCAAAGCTCTGAATATAGGAATCCACAAAGAAGCAAGTCATTTGAGTGAATATATATGGAAAGTTGATTGATCAAAATCTAAAAAGCATTCATAATGTGGATTCAATTCAAAGTACAACTGGAAACAGCCATTCTAAGCAGGAAAGGCAGTCAGTTCTGTTGAAACATTCAGCAGCATATTGACATCATCAGTCACATTTACTGATTCTGAAATGATCGGGGTCCTATTATACTCTACAAAGTCCACTTCTTCAATCAGAGGCCTAAAAATATTGTGAGAAGGAATCATTGGAGATATGTGGTTCTGTGGATGAACACCATCATCTAATGCGGACTCCGCTATGTGGTTTACCATCCTACCATAAATCCCGTGGGGAGATTCAACAGTGAAGTTAAATGTCAGCATCTAAATATTTTCTTTTTGTTTTTCTATAATAAGTATTTAGATAATACTATAGGGCAATCCTTCCTAATGTCCGCAACAATTTTTGTTCACATTAGGTTTTCCAGGTCCATTATGAGGAGAATGGGAGACTGTGACATAACCTTCATCAAATAAATTGTTCAACTGATATTTCTCAATCATAAGAGTAGACCGTGATCAAAATTGAGGTAGTTTCTAAGGTTCATTATGTTAAGAAATAGTATGGTAAACTATATTGGGATATACACATCCCAAGTTTCTCTTTTAGTACAAATCCCAAATTTCTGCTTTCAGTCTCATCTGAAAATTTCAAAAATAAAGATATTCTTAAAAAGTTTGATTGCACTGAGCTAAAGCCATTGAAATCTTCTTAAGTTGGTAAGCACCTACTACTCATTGATGGGCACCACGGTTGTCGCATAAATTAGGATCACAAATGATCAAATGCTCACATTATGCATTTTCATCTCCGTGGACCCAAAGATTGCAATGCACTGATATTTAACAGATTCACAAATGACAGATCATTCCACCCTTGCTAGATTGCAAAACATTCCATGATTTCAAGGGATCAAAACCTAAAGTGGTGAAAATTATACATAATTTCTATGGCAACAGGGAAGAAGAGCTTCCCTACTACTAAGAACCATTGGGAACAGCTATATGCATATAACTAATATGGAGAATGAAATGAGGCAGAACCTTTTTCACTGGGTCTGGAACCAGATTGAAGTTCTTCAGTTAGCTGGTCTGAAACCAGATTCAAGTTCTTCAAGCCAGTTAAGTAAACTGACACCCAAGATTTCTATGACATGAAACCTATACATACATGCATGCCCATGCTTGCGGAAGTAGCTAACTCATTCTCCATGTGTGCTGATTCTAGAGTTCTGCTGTAATCAAATTTATGAAAATATTTACCAAAAAAAACTTGTCCACACATATATGATCTATCGTTCAGCTATCAGCAGACCAAGAATTTGATAATCCTACCAGGCCATGTTATTTGAAACTTGAGGCAGAACAGCACATTCTGAGGAACCATGAGCATTGATGGCAAAATACAGGTCACCACCATTAGATCTTGTTTCTGTTTCATCATCCCCTGTGTTCACGGTAACGGCTAGAAACTTGCTGCAGGAAACAAAAATAAATTTCAAATTTACATGATAAGGATGAGTTTCAGCCAAATTAAAACACCATATCACAATTTGAATGAATCAACACATACAAGGGATAAGGCTTTATTTTTTCAGTTAGGACCTGCTTGTTCATGATTAATTGAGAACGATCTGAGTTCATGGGGATCCCAACAACTATGATCTGGGACTGTCCAGCCATATTTTAACAATTTTGTCAGCCTCCCAAATGAGTATTTTACTTCTTGCTCTCTTTGTTTGATGTAAATTTATAGAGACATAGAAACAAGAAAGGGCTTTTGTCATTTGGAGAAAAAAATATTGGTGTCAACCCTTCTTTCTTATTTTTTTGGATTGCTTATATATTTAGTTTTTAGATTTGTAAACTCGTAATGATTTTTATTTTGGTCAGTTACAAGCTTTTAAATACCATATTCTAGAAAGATATAGGGCTTTTGATGATTTGCTTTGTGCTTGGGTCTCTCTAGCCCGAAACCCTAACATTTCCATAATTCAATAAATGGAAAGAGGAGAAAAGGGTTTTGTGATTTTATTAAAAAAAAATAATGATTTTTCTTTCTTCTCATTGCTTGATTCTTTTATAGTATTTACATTGCACAATGTAAAGTATAAACTTGTATTGTAATGTGTACGTACCTTTGTTTTTGTGCCTTTGTAGCGATTGGAAATTTGTAATGTGCTATTTTTGGGTGGATGATTGATGTCATTTTTGGAGTGGGGGTGGAATTTGGATGATTACTTTGTGATTTTTAGTTTATTATTTAGTTTTGAAATATGGTTGATGAAAGAAGTGGCGGAATTCCGAGTAAAATAAACATTTTGTTTTTTTTTTTTAATTAATATATCTGAACTATACTTACAAATGCCACAAAACAATGCTGTAATAAGAAACTAAATCCTAAATACAACATAGGATCTTTTTTTTTTTATTGCCAGACAAATATGACTCAATCCAAGGGCTGAATACAAGCTTTAATTATGAATTCTAATACAAGTAATGTTTCTGGAAACTGAAATAAATTGATCAATATTGACTGAAAAAAAAACTACAACAGCTAGAAGACTTCCTTGATTTTTCCTAGGGTCACCCCCTTGGACTTAGAACCATAGTTGTTGGAGGCGGGAGTGAGTTCGAGAGGGGAATTGTTTCAGGGAACGTCAAACCGCCGTAGGGTTGAAGATCCCTAGGGTTAGAATCGAAGTCTGTACAGCGAGATACCATGTCATTAGGATCAAGGTTTTGACCTGGACGGATTTAATATCCACTCTACATAAAACGAGATCAATTAATAGTATATGATAAAAGTAAGATCGAGCCAATGCTCGCTCAATCCATTATCATACACCTTAGCTTAGCTTATTACCAATGCCATAGTTATAGTACTCTAATTTGCTACAATAATACAGTTTAATAATACCATAAATTGGCTTATTATGATATCAAATTATAGTTTTTTTAATACCATAATTCTAGTATAACACGATATAATATGCACCACAATTTAACATACTCTAAAGGAATAAATCTATAATACCAAGGAGAGGAGCAATATTTCAATTAATAATATAGCTCCTCTCCTTGGTGGGATCCTACGAACATGTAGACCGAGATTTCCATTTTATAGGGAGATCCCTATTTTTCTAAACCCAGCTCCCTCTAAGATCCCTTAGAGGAAGTGCAAGATCGAGTTCCTAAGTTGGGACAATGGCCTTACCCCCAAGGTTCCTGTAAGTATGCTTGGAACACCCCACACCTGATTACTTAACTGATGGCATGCTCTAATCCTATTGGCCTAACTGAATTCTCTAAGTTGCGAAGCTCCATTAGGCATTATCATTTTCAGATCTAGGGTTTGAGAGCATAAAACAAAAATTAGGGTTTTTATAGATCCTTCTGAACCTATCTTGGGCATGCTGCAAGTGGAACATTCCTTGGTTATTCTCGGGCTAGGTGAGGCCCTCTATCTAATATATGGGTGGCATACCACCGCAAAAGTCCCTAGGGTGGTATATATATATATATATATATAGAGAGAGAGAGAGAGAGAGAGAGAGAGAGAGAGAGAGAGGAGGTAGTATAGAGAGGTAGGTACTACCTACCTACTTATTACGTACGTCCGTACGTAGGTTAGGGTTAGTAGTAGTCGTACTACTTAACTTAAGTTTAAGTT